TTGGACATGTTTAATGTTTATCTGTGGCCCTAATAATTAATTATGTATTTTGGTAATTTTTTATGTTTTCTGATTACCTCCAGGAAGATGTGATCAGGATGTGGTCTTCCCTTTTCCCTCTTCTTATTGCTTAACTCAGAGTAACTTTTTTGGGCCTCTGGGGGCCTGGGTGTCAGCGACCGACCTGCAGGAAGGTTGGGTCTCAGGTGGGTGGTTTGGGCCTCAGAGGGCCTGGGTATCAGCAGGTGGGCATTGGGTGGCTTGGGCCTCGGCGGGTGGGTTGGGCGGATTGGGCCTCAGGGGACCTGTGCCTCGGGGACCAGGCTGAGGGCGGGTTGGGTCTCAGGGGCACTGGGCCTCAGTGACCAGGCTACGGCGTGGGTTGGGCCTCAGGGGTCTTGGACCTTGGCGACCGGGCTACGCGGTGGGTTGGGCCTTGGGGTCCCTGGACCTTGGTGGCGACCGGGCTGTGGGCCGCCTGGGCCGCGCGGCAGGTAGGCGATTTGGGCCTTGGTTGGGCCTGGGCCTTTGTGACCAGCCTGTGGGTGTGTTGGGCCTCGGGGCAGGCCTTGTACTCAGTGGGCATGTCTGGGCCTTTGGAGGGCCTTGGCCTCAGTGGGCAGGCCTGTGTCATGGGTGTTCATGAGCCTCCACGGCTTGGCAGAGGGCTGGTCTAGGCCTTGGCAGTAGAGGGCAGGGTGTGTGTGGCTGCAGGGAGGTGGTGTCTGTATCTGATGACATAAAAAATGCCCCTCTCACTTTCTCTGTACTGTGGGTACCCCAAATTTCCTGATATCCTCGCCGATATCCCTCTCTATTTGTTTGGCTTTGTTAGTTTATGCTTCCTTTTCTCTGGAAATGCAGCCTTCTAAATGGGGTTACTCTAGCTCTGCACTCCAAAGTCTGTGGGCGTGGGGAGCTGGTGCCGCGTGCAGGCAGGCAAAAGCTCAAAATGCCTGTAATTCCTCAGCAATTTGATCTTTTAAAAAAACGAGTTCAGAAAGTTGAAATATAAGATCTTATGTTTGCTCAAAGGCTGTCTGTCTGTTAGACAGAGGTTTCCTATGTGCGATTCCACCCCTTTTCCCCGGAGCCTGCCCTACCTGAGCTGCCTGGTCCGGGAAGCGCCGGAACCTCAACAGTGCTTTTTAACTGGGGGTTCTTGTTTCTTTTACCTTTCCCATAAAGAGATCTGCTCTCTTGATTAGTTCTCATCTAATTCTGGGTTTGGTCCAAGCTGAGCTTCTTTGAGACAATTCACGAGCTAAAATGACTGTGAAGATCAGCTGTGGACAGGGTCCTACAGTCTGTTGAGGTTTGGTTCCATTGGGTTTAAGAAGGCCCAGTTTTCTTTGAATCCTTTAAAAATCCTCTCTCCTGTTATTACAACCCCAAACACACACCTGTGTGTCATACAGCCTTAGCTAGAGGTGAGGGAAGGTTCAGTGAGATTGGGTTCAGCTGTCAGGCTGAGAAGCTTGGACTGTCCTGCTGGTAGAGTAATTAGATCCTGGTTCGCCCAGCTCTGTTAGTCCAACTCCCCCTGCCAACCTTCCTCCAGGTTTGCTGAGTCATTCAGTGAGCTCCTGGCCTCTCTTGCAGGCCTCACTGGCATGTTCTGAGACCCTTAGTTCCACTCAGACACCCTTATGTATGCAAACTCTGGGGAGCTGGGTGTGAACCAGGAGCCTCCCTTTGCAAAAGGAGAAAATTTAAAGTTTCACTGGAAGTGAGATGAGCTCCTGGGGGGGTGGAGATGGGGGTGGGGTGGGGAGCAAGTGCAGCAGAAGGATCCCAGGACTGGAGAGACAGCCAGGCTGAATTCCAGACTGACCAGCAGACTGACAAACAGACTGGCCCAGGACTGACTCTCTGCAAGCTGAAGGAACGTTTCATCTCTTTCTAAGATACATAGAATCTATCTTGTAGCACAGTCTGGAGAATGTTCTAATCTTAGGACATCATGCTTGGTAAAGTTGAGGGTCAGCAAAAAGAGGAATACTCTCCATGAGATGAACTTACTGACAACAGCTGTGGGCTCAAATCCACCAGCAAATGTGAGGGTGGTACAGGACCTGGCAGTGTACATAGGTTGCTCTGAACTGGAACTGACTCAACAGTGCATAACAACAACAAACTATAATAATTTCTAGTAGATAGAAGTTTTGGTGTGGTGCTGTAGAATAAACACTAGACTGCTAACCACAAAGGTGGTGGTTCAAACCCATCAACCACTTCTTGGAAACCCTATACAGGGTCCTTTTAAGTCAGAACCAACTCAATGGCACACAACAACCACCACCACCACAAATAGTAGATATGAAGCATCTAGCATTGTTGGATCTCTCAACTTGGGAGCACTTATTAGGACAAGGGATTTAAAAGAAAGAAAGAGTTATCTTAATAGATTTTTGTAACAGGGCAGCAAATCTGAGCACTGGCCTTCTCTTTCCTACCCTCAGGGCCTGAAGAAGATTTCAGTCTACATGAAGTCCAGCAATTTCCTCCCACACCCTCTCTTCGGAAAAGAGGCTCTGTGGGGCAATAAGTAGGGCCTGTGAATCCAGGAGACCGGAGGAGGAGCCAGCCCTGGGCCTGCTGTCTGGAGAACACCCGACCTGCCCACCACCAATCTTGTGCCCCTTTTTACTGTATTCCTTTCCCTAAGGGTCTAATTGAGTCCCTTTCTCTACTCCAACCCACCCACTCCAAGCTTTTTCAAGCCTCAGCTCCCACTTTCTTTCAGCCTGGTCCCCCCTCCTAACTGCTTGCAGGGAAACCTACCTGACCTCTCTTCCTCAAATGCTATGTCTGCTTGGTGGGGTTGTCTGGACTCCAGGTCTGCAGAGGTCAGCCCTGAGATGCCTGCTCTGTCCTGAGAGACCAGTATGGCTGGTGTGTGGGCCCTGCTCCCACATGGTCCCTGCTCCAACCCTGTCTGGTACCCAGTGAAGGGCTGAGCCACACCTGCTGTGTCTTGTCCTCCTGGCGACTTGGACACAGAAATAACTCTGATAGTGGACTGCAGGGTGTGGGAGGACAGGGGACAGAAGAGATTTTGCTCACTTTGCTTCCCTCTCCTTGTTGTTTTATCCCTCCCCATGGAGATCTCCACAGAAGGGTGGCTTCGCCTATGACTTGGGCCTTCATTTGTTCAGTTGTCCATGAGTCCCTGATGACCTGTGTGTGTGGTTCTGAGGGTGCTGGGGTGGTGGGGAAGGACTGTGCATCCACAGGGATGTCAGGTCCTGGAGGACTACCTCCTGTCACCCTGACCTGGAAGCCCCTTCTCTCTGTTCTCATAATATATCTCAAAAAAACATGTCCCATTATATTGTCACTGTTATATGACTTGGTTTTTGCATAGCCCATGAATTCATTGAGGAGAGAATCCTTGCCTTGTTTTTACTTCTGATGTCTATTGTGTGTAATACCTGTATGCCGTAATTGTTCAATAAAAGTGGGAAACCTAAAAGAATTATCTCCAGGCAAGGCCTGGAAACTGCAGTAATGATTGGGATTTGGAACTCTGGAGATAACTATCTGACATTGCAGATACTCGAGGGTGCTTCCAATGTTCTTGGGGAAATTCCTTATCTTTCAGTACCACTTTTCTATTAAGTTTTTTTTTTTATACTTTATTGTGAATTATGTGATAGTTTATATGGGAGGATATCAGCTTCATATTGATCCCGTCGTGTATCTTTTCCTTGCCATGGTTACAATCCTTTCCATGCATCATTCATCAGCCAAAGGGTATGTGTATACCCGGTAAGCCTGCACCACCCCCTGTCGTCCGCATACAGACCCTCTCCCTCTCTGGGTCCAAAGTCTCCAGCCACTCCATCTCCCCACGTCATCGTCTCTGCCTCTATCCCTGGCATCACTGTTTATTTGGGTAGGGTTCCATTCTCTGCTCTTCTCCTTTGGTGGTCCCAGGGACCTCTGTTCCTAGACTGCAAGGTTAATCACTCCCCTCCCTTTGCCCCCAAAATGTCTACCTTTACATTTCCAGCCCTTAAAATCAGTCCTGATAACAATTATTCGCTACTGTATAGCAAGAGACCTATCCACATCTCCTTTCATCAGCCCTGACTAGGCAGAATGGATACTACTCAATGGAGATTCTACCTTGCTGCACACCCTCTGGATCTAGGTTCCCTCTTGAAAGCTTGTAAACCAGTCACTTCTTGCTTCTGTAGGCCCCCCTCCCCCCATTCTGTGTAGCTAATGTCCACATTGCCCTCCCTGTCCTCTCTGTGTGTGGAGGAGGTGGGAATGATCCTCGCTGTGAAGATTTGTTCACTCTTTTGAGCTCTTGCTTCCATAGGTGTGTGTCAAGTTCATCAAATTGTAACAGATTATTCTTTTTTCCCTCTTTTTCTTCTTCTGTTTGAGCTCTGATCATCCAGCCATTGAAGCCAGGTCAAGTGAGTATTACCTGCAAGTGTGGGTGTTCTTGTGAGTATGCACGTGCCCTCTCTTATCAGCTGGACACTTCACTCTCCACTCTAGTCTTCTGTGGCTATGTCGCTGACTCTGGGTCCAAGAGTTCCCTGGACTTGGCACACTGCTGGCCAACCAGGTCTCCATCCGGGTCCACAGGAGTCTATTGAGCATTGCAGGGCTTAGCTCATTGCTGTTTTTCCCTCAGTTCCCTTTATCGGTGATGAACATGGTCAACAATCGGAGCATGCATTCCCATTGAGCCAAAGTCTTAGAAGGGGGTTTGCCCTGAGGGGGATCCAACTACTTGCCTTGATGTCTCCTAGGCGAGCCACTTGCTTGTTCTTGTAGTAATCAGTCAGTCTGCCTATATTGTTTTGCATTTTTCCTGTCAGTGGTTCTTTCAGGAAGTATCTTCTGTTCTTCTGGCCACCCAGGCTGGTATGCTTATCCTTTCAAGTGGACATTTCCCCTCAGAAGATTCTGGATGCTGTTCAGGATTCCACCTATGGTCTTGTGCAATGCAGAGGCTCTGCAGGAAGCCTCCTTTTCTGGGCACGTTGTAGCCCCATTTTCAGTATTCCGATCAGTTTTAGGCACAAGACGGACTTACAAGCTTTCCATCGTGCTATTCCTTTCTCTCCCCCTCCGGTGTCTGTTTTATAGAGGTATGTCAGGGGAACCAAGATTCATCAGACAGCCAAGCGTCTTAACATTATTTCTCCCCTTTTCCCCATTCAAACCATGTCTCAATCTCTGTATCCCAGAGCCCTGTTGTTCCAATGTTTTGCATACATCATTATTTGCCTCTGTCCCACTTCAGCTTCACACTCATTCTATCATATTTCATTTCATTGCAATGATTAAAATCCCCTCCTTGCATCATCAAATAACCAAAGGATACACCTCATAGTCCCGCCAGCTCCTCTCCCTCCCTGGGTCCCGTGTTCCCAGCCACTCCATCTGTCCATGCCATAATAGCCCCCCCCGCCCCCATTTTGGGTCTGGGCAGTTTTCAGCCACCAACCCAAGGTATTCCAGTTAGTTATGGCTGGATCCGGGCCCACATGTTTTCTGTTGTGATGTTTCCGGCTGTTCCACCCCCTCAAGTGTCTCTTTCACAATGGTAGGCAAGGGAGACCAAGATTCAAATGATGATCAAGCATCCTAACATTATTCCCCTCTTTTCCCCCTTTCAAGCCGTGCCTCAATCCCTGTATCCTGAAGCCCTGTTATTCGAGGGTTGTGCATACCTCATCATTTAGCTCTGTCCCACCTAGCCCATACGAACCTGCCCAACTGATCTCCCGTCCGCCTTGTTCTTCTTTTCCCCCTCCCTATTCTTGTGTATTGCCAGCCTCCCCTCCCACCCCTTGCTCCCAGGCTCTCCTGTGTCTATTCCCTACCCTGTGCTCTTTCTTCCCCTCCCTCCCCACCTCTCATCCCATACATACCAGTGATCAGCACTTACATTTTTAGATTCTCTACCTCCCCTTTTGGGTGGGTTCTTTTTCTTAGTCTTTTACAATAATGGTCTTATGCAGTATTTCTCCTTTTGTGACTGATTAATTTCACTCAGCATAAT